CCTGGGCTCAAGCAATCTTCCTACCTCAGCTTCCTGAGTAGCTGGTACTACAGGCACATGCCACCACATCTGGTTAATTTTTTTTTAAGTTTTTGTAGCCCAGCGAGGTGGCTCACACTTGTAATCCCAACACTTTAAGAGACCCAGGCAGAAGGATTGCTTGAGGCCAGAAGTTGGAGAGTAACCTGGGCAGCAGAGCAAGATCCTGTCTCTATAAAAAATAAAAATAAATTTCTGTACAGACAGAATTTCATTATATTGCCCAGGCTGGTCTCAAAGACCCAGTCTCAAACTGTCCTCCTACCTTGGCCTCCCAAAGTGCTGAGATTTGTTGGGGGAGACCCCGTAAGTGCCAAGGCAGGAGTCAGAAGTCTTAGCTTATTCCCATATAAATAATGAAGAAGAAAATAACTAGAGATATAACCATAGTAGTTATTCATAGAGTGATCTTAGTCATTCATATGTGATCTTAGCTATTCATAGGTGATCTTACTTCTCTTACTAATGCCTTCAGGTTGGAAGTGTGACCCTGGGGTGACACTGTGAAAGGAATGACCCTAAGGCAAGACACTTTAAACCCTCTGTCATGCCCGTGCAAGGGCTGCTGGAGAACGCTTCAGCTGTGCGGTAGCGGCAGCGCTGGGAAAGCACCTGCTATTTAGCCAGCTAAACGTCTCCTTCCTCAGGGGAGTGAGGAGAAAACTCCGCTCCTCCACACTCTTGCATAGGCCTGACGGCTGTCAGGTGAGCCCACAGACATCCCGGGGCTTAATTGTCTCTGTGTGGTGCTGTGCTTCAGTGGTCACATTCTGTGTCCACTCTCATGTTCCACTTTTGCACCTGGTTCCTTTCTTCTTAGAAGAGATCATCAGTAAAACTAATATAAATCTTGTCTTTGTTCTTTCTTGACAAGTATGGAAAAGCACTGAGGCATTACGCTCCTTACCTCATCTTGGCTACTAGAAAGTCTTGTGCCCCTACCTATATGACACGTGATGTGCTTGACCCTATCACTGACCACAAATGCCGCGCCCTACCTACCCTGCTCCCAGCTTTGCACCACGCCCTACGTACCCTGCCCCCAGCTTTGCACCACGCCCTACGTACCCTGCCCCCAGTTTTCCACCACGTCCTAAGTACCCTGCCCCCAGCTTTGTACCACACCCAATAAAAGTCAGAGTGTGCAGACACTCTGGGCCACTGCTGGACTCCACATTTTGGTTGGCAGTGGACCCCTGGGCCTAGACTGTCCTTTCTCTATCTCTGTGTCTTGTGTCTTTTATTTCTCCAGTTTCTCATCTCCACACCTGCAGAGAAGGGCTCAAAGGACCCTGTAGGGCTGGACCCTACAAGATTACAGGCACGAATCACCTCACCTACCTCCAATTTTTTACATTGTCCCCGAAAACGTCTGTTATATCACTTTTTTCCCTTGAGGACAGGATTGAATCCAGGATCACATTTTGCATTTAGTTGTCATGTCTCTTTATCTCCTTTAATCTGGAACATTTCCTCATTCTTTGTCTTTCATGTCTGACATTTTAAAAAACACTAGCCAGTTTTTCTTTCTTTTCTTTTTCTTTGCTTGAGACAGAATCTTGTTCTGTCACCCAGACTGGAGTGCAGTGGCAAAATCTTGGTTCCCTGAAACCTTTGCCTCCCAAGTTCAAGTGAGTCTCATGCCTGAGCCTCCCAAGTAGTTGGGATTACAGGTGTGGACCACCATGCCCAGCTAATTTTTGCATTGCTTTTTTTTTTTTTTTTTTTTTTTTTTTGTGGCAGGGTCTCACTCTGTCACCCAGGCTGAAGTGCAGTGGTGCAATCTTGGCTCACTGCAATGTCCACCTCTGGGTTCCAGCGTTCAAGCAATTCTCCTGCCTCAGCCTCCAGAGTAGCTGGGATTACAGGGACACACCACAATGCCTGGCTAATTTTTGTACTTTTAGTAGAAACAGGGGTTCACCATGTAGGCCTGTCTGGTCTCGAACTCCCTACCTCAAGTGATCCGCCCACCTCAGCCTCCCAAAGTGCTGGGATTATAGACATGAGCAATGGTGCCCAGCATAAGTTTCTTTTATACATAGCAAATATTTCTTACTTGGGATCTGTCTGATTCTTTGTATTTAAAATCAAGTTATGTAGCCCCAGTCAGAACACTACCTAAATTATGGAGTGTCTTTTTCAAGGGAACATTTCTGGAGGCACATGATAGTCTTCTGTCCTTCATTGGTGATATTAATCTTGGCCACCAAGTCGAGATGCTATCTGGTTTTCCCACTGTGCAGTTACAGAAAAATTGCAGTTACAATTTTTCTTCTTGCGACAAATAAGCCAACTATGGGAAGATACTTTAAGCTATGTACATACCCTGCTTCTGTCAAACTTTCCCCCTAGAATTAGCATTTATTGATAATTCTTGACCAAACCAACTTTTACTACGATGGTTGCAAAAAAGTTATTTTCCAACTCCATCAGCTCCTTCTGCATTTATTAATTGACATTCTCCCTTCTCCTTCTTTCATTTAATTATATATATATATATATATGTATATATATGTGTATATATATATGTGTGTGTGTGTGTATATATATATATATATATATATATATATATATATATATAAAATCAGTGTGGACTCAAGGATTCCCATGTTTTCAATGGTTCATAATTCATTCCCGATCATCTCCCCTGGGAGCACCAACCAGATAGGGTAGATCTTTATCTGTCTTGCATGTTACAAACATTTTCTCACAGTTTATCATTTCTCTCTCTTTTAGTTTATGTTAATTTCTTCACTCAAGTTTTTCATATAGTCAGATTTATTAATATTTTCCTTTACATCTGATTTAGAGATCTCTTCCCTACTCCAGGAGCGTACACAAAACAAAACAAAAATTTCATGATTTCTTTTTTTGAGACGGAGTCTCGCTCTGTCACCCAGGCTAGAATGCAGTGGCACCATCTCAACTCATTGCAGCATCAACCTCCCAGGCTCAAGCCATCTTCCCACTTCAACCTCCCAAGTAGTTGGACTACAGGCGTGAGCCACCTCGCTGGGCTAATTTTTAAATTTTTTGTAGAAATGGAGGTCTCACCATGTTGCCCAGGCTGGTCTCGAATTCGTGGGCTCAAGCAATCCTCTCCACTGGGCCTCCCAAGGTGCTGGAATTACAAGCATGAGCTACTGTGCCGGCCTTCATGATTTCTTTTACTACTTTTATGATTTCACCTTTAATATTATAATAGACTTGGAATTTTGGTGTAAGAAGGGTAGAGATTCCACTCCCCCCCCCAGCTGATTAGTCATTTATTTGTATAAAATTCATTCATTTAATAATCCACCACACACACACACACATATTTTCATTGTGTTCTATATTTCTTATTATATCTTTTTTTCCCTCCTGAATCTTGATGCATCTTTTATTAGAACCATGGAGCCACAGACCTCTGATTCTCGGCAGTGTGAGGTATCAGGCTGTCTACCACCTGAGGCTTCCAGGCAGAACTACCGCCAATCTGGCCACTCTGGAATTTCCCTCCTCCTGCAAAGGTTGCACCAAGGGACAGTTAGGGGAAAGAGGCCCTTGAATTGCCCAGTGTGCATCTCATAAGCGTCTGTTTAATAATGAAAGGCAGGGCAGGGGAGGAGAGGTAGGGGGAGGCTTTGCATCTGTCTTTGTTAGGCAGAGCGTTTATTTTCCAGGGGTTCTTTCCTTAATATTCACTCTAACATTCAAACCTTCCTTGACGTGGGTTTTAGCGCGCCCCCGCCCCACCTTCTCCCAAAGCCTTATTTGCCCATGGTTGCCTACAAGCTCAGAACGAGCAGGCAACGGAATGGCTGGTCTTGGGAGCAGGCGGTTGAGATGCCAGGGTTTAGAGGCGAAGGGCTGGGGACTATGAGCGAGGACCTTCCCGCGTCTGCTCTGCGCCCCCGCAGTTTCCTCCGCGCCCACCAGAAGGCGCCGGGGCGCTCGCATTCCCCGCGCGGAGCCCGAGCAGCCGCAATCAGCCGGGAGCTGAGCCGCGCTGCCCTGCGGTGTGAGGAGCCGGGCAGCTGCCGGAGCCCTCCCTGCGCTGCCTTTGGGAGGCGACGCCAGGGGTCCCCAGCTTCGCCCCCGGGGCAAAGTGCAAGTGACTCAGAACTGGGTCCTCGCGCCTCGTCGACCGCCCTCGGGCAGGAAACGCCCAGAACCGCCACCGCGCAGCGCTTCACAAAAGCCGGGAGAGTTCCAAGGCGGGAGGGGTCGGGCGCGCTCCAGAGGCAGGAGGGTCCCCCACACCCTTCAGGCTCACGCCCAGCTCCCCCATCGGGCAGCCCCCAGCCCCATGAGGACCCTCAGGCCGGGGCCAAGAGCCCGGCACAACCCCGACCGAAATTTTGCCGCTGCCTTAGAGCGTTAGACAGGTCAGTGCCCGGTGGGGGATGAGGGAGGAGGAGCAGGAGGCGGGAGGAGGCGCGCTTCCCAGTCCACCCTGTCCCCAGCGCCGCTTCCCGAGGCCACTCATCGGGTCACCTCCGCCGGGGGCACCCGCCAGCACGGGCGTGATTCTGCATTTTTGTGACAGGCTAGGTGTGGAGCCGCCCTCCGCAGCCCACCCCGGCCCAGGTGATGCTCGGACTGAGGAGTGGGGGGCGCGCCGGCCAGGGTAGGCGGCGGGCTTGGGGGCGGCCGCTCCTAAGAGAGCGGGGCTTTTCTGCTCACGCATGGCCGCGTTGGAACCGCGGCATCCAAATGTCTTCCGCATTAAGATGCCAGGCCTCGGTTGTGAGAGGAAACCAAGATGCAGGAGAGGGCGAGAAGAAAGGAGGCCGGGAGTCCCTAGGGCCCGGGAAGTGAGGGGAGGGGTACCGAGAAGACCGAGATTGGCAGTGCAAACCCTGTCGCGGTGTGTGGAGTGGAGTGCGCCCTTGGGAGCCGGCAGGAGCCTCTGAGGTGGCGGGGGCCACCGGCCCAGCCCTTGCCCTCCCTCCGTCCCTCCCTTTCTCACTCCCCACCCTACCCACACCTAGGATGTGGCTGGGCCGCCGGGCCCTGTTCGCGCTGGTCCTGCTGCTCGCCTGCGCCTCGCTGGGGCTCCTGTACGCGAGCACCCGGGACATGACCGGCCTCCGGGCACCTCTTGCGCCGTGGGCGCCCCCGCAGAGCCCCCGCAGGCCTGAGCTGCCAGATCTTGCTCCTGAGCCCCGCTACGCACACATCCCGGTCAGGATCAAGGAGCAAGTAGTCGGGTGAGTGCGGACCGCGGCGGCGGCAGCGCGGCGCTCGCCGGGGGTGGTCTAGGGGCTTTTGTTTCCTCCACTGCTGGGCTCAGATGCCGGTGTTCTCCTGACGGGTTGTGTGGAGTGAACTGGGAGGTGGAAGTGGGAGGCTGCTGAGGCTTGGGCTGGGGAAAATCTGTTCTCTCTGAACCATGGGGATGGGCGTGGGAGGTTGTGCAGTCAAGGGAGGGCCCTGAAAGACTCCCTGAGGTCCCGATTCAGACATGAGAGGAGACTCCAGGTGGAATCCTGGATGCTGGGTAGGCAGCTCCTGAAATCCTAGTAACTGGCCCTATCCTACAACTCTAAAATCCAGATTTAGGGGCTGGATCATCAGAACCTCGGTTCCCCTCCCGAGGACTATTTGAAGGGCAGCGTTTAAGGGGACAGATCCTAGATGGACAGAGTTGCAGGACCAAGGTGCGGGGTGCTGTGTCAGTGTTTATGGGATTAATGGAGCTGTGTAGCTGGGCTCTGATGACCCTCACTACCCCCTTCAGGCTGCTGGCTCAGAACAACTGCAGTTGTGAGTCCAGCGGGAGGGGCCTTCCCCTCCCATTCCAGAAACAAGTCCAAGCCATTGACCTCACCAAGGCCTTTGACCCTGCAGAGCTGAGGACTGCCTCCGCCACAAGAGAGCAGGAGTTCCAGGCCTTTCTATCAAGGTACCAGCTTGAAAGAAGGGCATGACACCACAGGGGGAGAGCAGTGATTGTGTCCAGGAGGGGGAGCACCTCTCCCCCCGACTCTCCTCTGTCCTCTCCTTCCTCCACTGCCAGGAGCCAGTCCCCAGCTGACCAACTTCTCATAGCCCCTGCCAACTCCCCACTCCAGTACCCGCTGCAGGGTGTGGAAGTTCAGCCCCTCAGGAGCATCTTGGTGCCAGGTAGGGAGGAGGGTCCCAAAGGATGACCTCAGCCACCGTGCAGGTGGCAGAACCCAAGATTGGGTGAGAAAGGATGAACGATGGTCAGAATGGGAGGTGGGAACTTCCGATGACAAGGGGACTTAAGGTCAGAAGGGGGCTTAGGAGGTGGGAGGTGAGGACAGAAGGGACTCTAGGAATTTCAGAAGACTGTAATGGGAGTTCTTGGGGGAAGAATCTATTTTTTGCTGACTAACCATTGGTTAGGTGGTGGGCAGGGCAGGCCATAGGGCAAGCTTTGATAGGAAAGGTTCAAAAATCAGTCACTGTAGGCTATGTTATACAGTGTCCCCTGCTGAGGCCTCAATAAGAAGAATGGGTGGAAAGTTCTCTATTGTGTGTGGTGACAGCAGGGAGAGAAAACGAGAAAGAATTCAGGGTTGTCTGTGTGATTCTGATCCCCCCTCCTTTCTCCTAGGGCTGAGCCTTCAGGCAGCTTCTGGTCAGGAGGTATATCAGGTGAGAGAAAACAGGAAGGCGAGGAGGCCAGGTGGGCATCAAGAACGCTGGGAGGGAGGCAGGGCTACTAAGAGAAGGATGGAGGAATCAGGGAGGCAAGAAGTGGGCCTGGGCCCTAACTCTGCAACCCCTCCTAGGTGAACCTGACTGCCTCCCTGGGCACCTGGGATGTGGCAGGGGAAGTGACTGGAGTGACTCTCACTGGAGAGGGGCAGGCAGATCTCACCCTTGTCAGCTCAGGGCTGGACCAACTCAACAGGCAACTACAACTGGTCACTTACAGCAGCCGAAGCTACCAGACCAACACAGCAGACACAGGTGTGAGGCCTGGGTGAAGAGAGGGGCAGGCTGGCCAAACAGAGAAGAACCAGAAAGGCTGGAGTGGTCAAATGGCAGAGGGCGTGGGAGGCATCTGGGCTATGGCCAGAGCTGTCCAGCCACACAATGCATGCTTCAGCTGGACCAGCCCGGCCAGAGAGGGAGAGAAGACGCCTTTGTTCATCTGGGGCTGCAGCAGGCCAGAGGGAAACCCAAGCTTTGGGTGTGTCTCCCCTTTAGGCCCACCGTGGGGCCTCAGGAAGAGACCTGTCCAAGGAGTTAGAAGACTACACTCCCGACTCACCCTGACTAGAGGGCAAAGGCCTTTACCTTCCTGGGTTTACCTTTCTCCTCCAGCAAAAGGGGCCTAAGAGCCCTCCTGCTTCTCCCCAAAGCCTGTTAGTTGCACGAAGTTTGCTTCGACCTTAGAGCCTTCCACTTGCTGTTTCCTCAGCCTGGAATGCTGGTCCCCAGATTTTTGCAGACCGGCTCCTTCTTGTCATTTAAATCTCAGCCCAAATGTCTCCTCTTCACTGTTACATTACTTGTTTGTCTTATTTTCCATTCAATGCTCACCAGTATCTGAATTTTTAAATTTTCTTAGCCTGGCACCAGACTGACTAGGTTCCTATCAGCTTTGTTGCTTAATAGTTGCGTAAATATGGCAAGTTACTTTTCTGTCTCAGCTTCTTTTTCTGTTGTAGGAATCTACTTAATAGGGTTATCATGAGAATAAAGTGACTGCATATATTTAAGGTCATTTTTTAAAGGGTCTGGCACATAGTAAATGCTCAATAATGGCTAGCTTTTACTTAAAACTTTTTTATTGCTTTTCTCCTACCCATTAGAATGTAAGTTCCGTGAACATAAGAGCCTTGTGTTCTCGTCCACCAAGGCCTAGAAAGGTGGGACACAGAGAAGGCACTTAAATACTGATTGGCTGAAAACAGAATGTTGTCCCACCCTTCAGGGTCAAATGCCATGTCCTTTTTTCCCAGTCCGGTTCTCCACCAAGGGACATGAGGCTGCCTTCACCATCCGCATAAGACACCCCCCCAACCCTCGGCTGTACCCACCTGGGTCTCTACCCAAGGGAGGTGAGGCTGGTAGGGGCAGGGATTTATTAGATCCACCTTGGTGGGGAGCACGGTGAGAGAGGCCGGCGCTGGGAGGGGATATCTACCTGTTCCTCTCTCCCAACTCTCCTTGTCTGCACTCAACCATGTGCCCTCAATCTCAGCGCAGTACAACATCAGCGCTCTAGTCACGATTGCCACCAAGACCTTCCTCCGTTATGATCGGCTACGGGCTCTCCTCGCCAGTATCCGCCGCTTCTACCCGACAGTCACCGTGGTCATCGCTGACGACAGTGACAAGCCAGAACGCGTTAGCGGCCCCTACGTGGAGCACTATCTCATGCCCTTCGGCAAGGTGTGCAGCTGGCAGTCAGAATGGAGGCCAGAGGACTCCCTCGGGGGGGGGCACCCTTAATCTGCAGCCACCTCCAGGGTGGTGATTTGAGGACCACCTGCCTCAGAATCATGGGGTGCCCGTTAAGCATGAGGATTCCTGGAATGTAAGCTTTGTGGGAGCAGGAAATTCTCTCTGCGTTCTTAGAATGGTGCTTAGTGCCTGATGGCATTCAATAAAATAGCTGATGAATGAATAAATAAATGCACACAGAAACTAAACGCATTCGAAGACCACGGACTCGGAACCTCTGTGGGGATCTGCATTTTTTTTTTCTTTACCTAACTCCCGGCCATTTTTTTTTTTTTAACCTAACTCCCGGCCATTCAAAAGCACTCAAAAGTCAGGAGAAGGACACAGGCTGAGAAGGGTCAGGGGAGAGAAAGAAAGGTGGCAGAGGGCCATGTCTTATTCTGCAGCCTCCCCAACTACATACACCTTTCCACCAGGGCTGGTTCGCGGGCCGGAACCTGGCCGTGTCCCAAGTAACCACCAAGTACGTGCTGTGGGTGGATGACGACTTCGTCTTCACAGCACGGACGCGGCTGGAGAGGCTTGTGGACGTGCTGGAGCGGACGCCTCTGGACCTGGTAGGGCAGGGGCCGCAGGATGTGGGGTGGAGAAGGGCCTTGAATAGGCTAAGGCCACGGCGGGGCCCTGCGGCCAAGAACGGCCAGCCCTGGGACAGAGAGGACCACGAAGTGGGGTCTGGGAACTGTCTGGGTCCTGCAGGGGTGGAGCGGAAGAGGATAAGGCAGAGGTACCCCCCCCCCCAAGACACCGGAGCGCAGATCTGCCCCCTTCTGGTCCCTGGTCCCCGGCCCTCCTGGAGCCAGCCTCCCTCTCCCTGCAGGTCGGGGGCGCAGTGCGCGAGATCTCCGGCTTCGCCACCACCTACCGGCAGCTGCTGAGCGTGGATCCCGGCGCCCCAGGCCTCGGGAACTGCCTCCGGCAAAGGCGCGGCTTCCACCACGAGCTCGTCGGCTTCCCAGGCTGCGTGGTCACCGACGGTGTGGTTAACTTCTTCCTGGCGCGGACTGACAAGGTGCGCGAGGTCGGCTTCGATCCTCGCCTCAGCCGCGTGGCTCACCTGGGTGAGTGGCGCCCCCTCCCGGCCGACCTTGTCAGCAGCCCCACGAGGCCCTGGCACAAGGTTCCCGGACTCTCCTCTGCCGCACCTGCGCCCAGCCGCCACCGGGAACCCTAGAACAGTTCTGCAGTGATTTAGCAAGACCTACACCTGGGCGAGAGACCCACCCCTCATACCCTTTAAGCCTCCATTCCCAACACAGCCACTGGGCCCCCATAAGCTTCCCCACCACTGTTCCGCCACCCCTACTCTACTCCCAGCGCTTCCCCTAGTTCAGACTACAGTCGGTGCAACCCATGTGGCTTTTATTTAACCTCTGGGAGTGGGGGTAGGTTTTTCCGTTTTCTTTTTTTTTTTTTTTTTTTTTTTTTTTTTGAGACGGAGTTTCGCTCTTGTTACCCAAGCTGGAGTGCAATGGTGCGATCTCGGCTCACCGCAACCTGCACCTCCTGGGTTCAAGCAATTCTCCTGCCTCAGCCTCCTGAGTAGCTGGGATTACAGGCACGCGCCACCATGCCCAGCTGATTTTTTGTATTTTTAGTAGAGACGGGGTTTCACCGTGTTGATCAGGATGGTCTCGATCTCTTGACCTCGTGATCCACCCGCCTCGGCCTCCCAAAGTGCTGGGATTACAGGCTTGAGCCACCGTGCCCGGCCTGGTTTTTCCGTTTTCAAAGCACAAGTATATTGACTCCGTTTACACAAGAGTAAAAGTGAGATCCAGGAGTTGATTTACATGCTCAAGGTCCTTAGAAACAAGTCTTTGCGCACACACGTTGCACTCCCTGAATTTGAGTTCTCCCTTAGTGATCGGCCTTCTGCACCCTCAGGACGCCTTACTGTGACACACTCCCCTCTACCCCCAGAATTCTTCCTGGATGGGCTTGGTTCCCTTCGGGTTGGCTCCTGCTCCGATGTCGTGGTAGATCATGCATCCAAATTGAAGTTGCCTTGGACATCAAGGGATGCCGGGGCAGAGACTTACGCCCGGTACCGTTACCCAGGATCACTGGACGAGAGCCAAATGGCCAAACACCGGCTGCTCTTCTTCAAACACCGGCTGCAGTGCATGACCTCCCAGTGATGGCCCGCAGGGGATTTCTGACTGTCAGGCTGGGCCTGCCTCCTTGTCCCTGCCAGAAATTTCCAGCAAATCCCACCACCCTGTGAGCACTCTACTGACTGTCCCTGAGCCCCTAGTTCCTCACTCTTCCCTTTCCAAACTGGATGCCCAATCGGGGTTGTCCTGGTAACACCCCTCCTTTTTTGAGTGCCCAGAGGCCTGGTGGAGCCATAACCTCTCCCACAGCCAGTGCCAAGTCCTCCCCTCTCCCCATTCTCATGGGGCAGGAAATGGGGGGATCACTTTCCAAGTGCCAAAGAGCCCAGGGGGACTCTAAGAACCTAAGGTGGAAACACTGTCTGTCCTCTCATCTTCTTAGGACTGAAGGGGTGGGGAAGTTCTCCAACACATAATCTCAAGACAGTGCCCTTCACCTGCATCTTCAAATCCAGTACTCTGCACATGCTCCAGCCCCACCCCGACAGACAGAACTTGTGGCTCTGGGGCTGGGGCGAGGGCTGGTGAACACATGGTGAAAGCCATTCTTAGTGTGTCTCTGCAATGCTGTGGGCACAAAAGAAGGGGCACCAGAGTCCCTGTGCAAACAGCTAGACTCACTTCATGGATTCCAAAGCACTCAGCTTCATTTTATTAGTTACATTAGGTAAGGGGGCTCAGGGGTCATGGTCCTCATCACACACATGTCACTGGGGCCCTCTGCACTCCAAGTGATGAGGTCAGACCCACACTGTGCAAATCTTATGGTCAGTGGGCTCCTGGAGAAGAGAGGAGACATGTCAGGAATAGATTAAGCACCCCTCTCCCTTGAAATGTGGCAGTCCTCTCAGGGGTACCCCACCAACTTAGGGATCTGAGTTCTTCAGTTCTTCACCCATAGATCAACCCAGGCTCCCTGAGCTGGTCTTCAATCCACTATTCATTCTGGCCCCACCCTTTTCTTCTTGATCTTTCTCCACAGACCCTTTCCCAAACCCCTCTCCCTAGGTCTCCAGCCACTTACCCCTGCCTCATTTGCTGCAGCCCGGCACCTCCCGGCTCCTGCTCCTGGTGCTACTGTCCCCTTAGCAGGCTCCCCAGGGCATGAGCAGCTGCATCCTGCACACTCACAAACAGCTGATCTGGAGTCACCCTGTCCAGGAGTCCTGCCCGGGTCAGCGTCCCCAGCACTGAGGCTATGGGGGAGGGTGTCAGGCTCTGAGACCCTAAATCCACACCGAGCCCTTTTCCCTCCTGCAGGCATCCAGCCATTGCCCAGGCACTGGGCCCCACCCTTCTCCACACATCTCACCATTGCACTGAGCCAAGAGGAGGCGGATTCTAGCATCTCGACATCGGCTGGCCAGCTGCAGGGAGGGGACAAAGGGGTGAAGTCCCAGATCAGAGGGTATGAGTGAGATGATAAGGGGTGTCTCTCCTACCTACCCTCTCCCTCACCTGCACCACTTCTCTGGCCCCAGCAGCATCTGCAAAGGTGACACCACTGAAGTCTAGGACCACCACTCTGACAGGCTCAGCCGCTAGAATGGGAGAAGACAGGGGTACCCAGGTGCCACCATGCAGCAAACCCAAATCCTCCTCGTCATCCCATCTCACCTGCAACAGTTGGGCCATCTGGCTTTGAAGTCTCCTGTGAGTAAAGAAGGGCAGTCACCACTCCCAGACACAGCATGAACATGCACTCCTTGAACACAAGGGTCCCCTCAGAACGCCCACCTGCCTCCCAATCCCTGAGGATCCACTTCCCTCCTAAACCAAGCTCCCTCACCGTTCCTCCTTCTCCAAGCCCCAGGTGCCACTCCAGGTTGCGGCGAAACTGCCCACGGGTCCCAAAGTAGAGCGGTGTTGGATAGCTCAGGATGCAGAGCCCTGGGACCTGAAGGAGCTAAGAGGTCAGAGGGTCAGAGAAATGTGTGGCCAGTCTTCCCTTCCTTCTGTGGCTGCAGCTCACCCACCTTGTGGCTTCCTTTGAGTGGCCTGTAGAGCTCTGTCCCCTCAGCCTGTCCAAGTGCCAGGCACTGCACCCTAGGGAAGAAGATTGGGTCAGATTTCCAGTTTAGCCTGGCCTGGCTGGGAAGTCATCCCAAGCACCTCATTCTCTCCCCTGCCCCGACCTCAACTTTACTCATCTCTGTGCCCACCTCTGGGTGCGGCAGACCACAGTCATCATGGAGAAGATCACACCCACAGCCAGGCCCAGGTCCACACTCAGGGTCACTACAGCCACCCATGTGACCATCCACACAGCCTGCAATACAGGGAGGGGGTGGATTGCCCAAAAGAAAAGCCAGGCCATCACTGCTGGGGAAAGAGATCCAGGGCAGTGACTACCAAGGCAAGTGCTGGGGAGAGGTGACCCAGGACGGAGCAGAAAGCATGACAGAGAAAAATAACAGGAGTGATTGAATGGGACATACACCAAATGTAATGACCTGTACTAATTGGGAAGTTACAAATATTCAGGCCCAAGGGCTTCAAACCCCACCATTTCCCTTGCCTGTGAGTAAAGGGTATTAGGAGTTCTATGTGTTGAGGGAGTGGGTGGGTTGCAGAACTTAGGACCAGACAATTTGCTTTGGTTTAGGGCAGAGGCTGGGGATGCTAAGAAGATGGGAGGGGGCAATTAGGGCTAATGCCATTTCTCACGAAGTCCATGCGACTGATGCGCCATAGTTGTGGAAGTTCCTGCATCTGGAAGAACATCTGGCGCATGCTGGAGATGTTGATGCAAGCCAGGACAGCCTTGAGGCAGAGGAGGTGGGCTGACTACCTCAATGTCCTGGAATACAGCCACCCCTCCCAGCCATGCTACGCCTCCTCTGCTCCTTACCTTGGGCAGATAGTAAAAGAAGGGCCCCAGCCACAGTAGCACCGACAGAACCACTATGCAGGAGAAGAGGCCTGCCAGCTAGAGGGAAGGAGGGGCGGAAGCAAAAAAGGCAGGGAGCCTCCTCCGGCCAACGTGAGGGCTGGTCTCCCTGCCCACTCTGCCTTATCTTCCTCAGAAGTCTCCCTTCTCCCAAATCTCCTTCCACACAACCCCGTTCTTAATATTCTGCCATTCACATCTAACCCTCCCCTTCCCCTGATTAATTAAATGCGTATCATTCGTCAGTCTCCCATAGATGTCTGTTGTTTAAGTTCCCAAGTTTTGCAGCCCACCTCCACCTTAAAAGCCACTGTGGGATCCTATAAGCAGGTTAACCACGTGCTTGGGGTACCAGCAAAGTAAGGGAAACCAAAAATGTTAGGGGGAGACTTTGATATGTGATGTTTCTTTTAAAAGACAATGTCATTGTGTGGAAAAAAATAAGAATTTTATCTCTTAAGTTTACTTTATGGTTTTGCGTTTTAATTTTGAACCACATCGGGACACCATAAACTTTTTAGTGCTTACAGCCTACAAAGGTCTTAATGGAATACTAGTATTTTCCATCCCTCCTATCTATAATTCTACCCCCTCACTCACCCTCCCTCACAGATCTCCATTCTTCTCTATATAGATGCCACCTGGGTATCTAGCCATTTTCCACCTGCTCCTCCACCACTACCACCTTGCCTGGATGGCCCATCCTTTCTCCTCTCCCAAGGATGCCCTCTTACCTGTGTCTTCCCACCAGCATCCACTAGTAGACTGGTGGTGGCCAGCGTAGCCGAGTTGGGAAAGCAAGAGAAGAGTGAGGAGATGAGGTTGGAGGCACCATGTGCCAGGAGCTCCTGGAGGGATGCAGTGAGATGAAGCAGGAGAGACAAAGGTGTGGTGGGGACTCAGATGAGAGGGTTGGGGTCTACAGTCAGAGTCCCACCTGGTTGGAGTCAATAGTGTAGCTATACTTGTCTGCATAAATGGAGGCCAGGGAGGCGGACACCGCAAAAGTAACCAGTGCGACGGGCAGTGAGTCAGCCAGAATCCTGGGCAGCTCAGCCAGGTTGGGAAGGAGGGGTTGGGGCAATCTGGAGAGGGAGGGATCCATGGTGAGGAGGGGTTGGGTGCTGCAGTGAGATAGGGAAGGCAGAGAAAATGGGCAGTGTTGGGTGGAAGAGGTGGGAGAAGAGAAAGCTGGCATCTTTTCATTCTGTCTTACCCTCCAGGCAACAGCCCTACTATCTGGACGTTGTATCTTGTGTCCAGGGAAGAGGTGAAGCAGAGCACAGAGGCCAGAAGCACCTGAGAAAGAGAGCAAAATGAAGGCAGGGGAAGGGATGGGGGCCCTGGCAAAAGCTAGAAGGGCTGAGCATGAGAGGGGACCGTAATGCAGGCCTAGCTGGTTGCAGGAGCCCAGCACCTGGGGAAGCAGGCTGTGTTTGGCATGGGGACCTGACAACTGATTTGGAATGTGGAGCTGGGAAAGAGAAATGATGTACGCCTGAGGCCACAGAGCGCTGGAATAGCAGAAGTAAGAGGAGGCTTCTGTGAAGGATGGTGGATATGAAGAGATGCGACTGAGCCTTCCAAAGAGAGGAACTGGGCGATATCTAGTGATATACTGGTATCTGTGGAGATGCGAACGTTTATTTAGTGGAGGAGAGAGAGAAATATCGGTGGAAGATGGAATGCACTGTGAATTACAGAGAAGGACCCTGGTGAGGACGGCTGTTAGAGCAGGTGCTGTGACCAGCAAGACCTCAAGGGAGCGCTGTAGGATGGCGGAAGGTACTCTAAGAGGTCTAGAGGGGGCTCCGTGAGAGACGTGTGTCAGTGTCTAGGGGAACTGTGGAAGGTCAAAGCGTTCTCCTCTAGGAGGCCTGGGAAAGTGAGTGTGAGCCGGCCCTCTGGTCGGTGGCCTCTCTGCACTCCACCAGGGGGCGGCAGCGGCCAGTTCCCACAGGATGGCAGGGTCTGTGCGGGCAGGGGCCGGCGCACACCGCCATCCTCACCATGACGACTTCCCCTGGGATCGGCGTGGGTAGCCGGTCTCGGAATCTCACGTTCAATTCCTTGAGCGGCACTAGCAGCGCCAGGCTGAGCGCCGAGATGGTCAGTTCAGCCGGACTGCTCCGGGGCAGCGCAGTCAGCACGCCGGCCAGCGTCTGCGGGCAGGGGCGGTGAGCAGAGGGCCCCGTGCCAGGGTTCGTGCGCCCCGGCGCGGGCCCCCAGGGCGAGGCCCTCTCTCCCAAGTGCCACCAGGGCTTCCACCTCCGCAGCGCCCCCGTTCAGCCACGTGGCTCCAACCTTTCCAGCGCCCTTGTCACACACTATCCCTCCACCCTCCGTCCTTCCTCCTTTTTCGAGTTTCCCTATTCCCGGGACCTCTAGAAGCCGCTTCTCTCTTCTCCCAACTCCACCTTGAAGAGAGAGAAGCAGCCGATCTGGCGCGGGAGGGACAACCCCAAGAGGCTCGGCAGCTGGGACACGAGCACGTGCAGCGCGGCTCCGCTGGTCAGCGCCTTGACCACAGGCTCCGACAAAAAGGTGGACAGAACGCCGAGCTGCAGCGCGAACATCCCCAGCTGCGGGGGAGAAGACGCGCAGTCACCAACTAGAGAAGCGGACCAGCCCCGCGCATCTCAGCCGGAGGCTGGTCCCTCTCTCTCCCTCGGCCCAATTTCCCCGGCCCCCCAGCAGGGATCCCCCGGGGTCCTCCCCGGCTCTTTCCTCACCATCAGC